CCTGGTTGTCTAGCCGGCTAGTAATGTAGTCTGTACCCCTGCAGGGGGTTACCATGGCCATCTTTTGATTTCCCCTGCAATCCTTGTCAGGACTGGGCTGAGAGCATCAACTAGTGCTCTCAGCCCATCAACACCTGCCCAGATAAACATTCCTATGTTGGGCATCGTAGCCCCAAGTTTGGTATTAGATTGTTAGAACCTTCTGCCCCTGTTACAACTTCAGTGAGATGGCCAGTGAGTTGTAATGAAGATAGGGGTGCTCCTTAAACACTCCATTGCAATGCATAAATTACTTTGGGATATTGTTCCATTTCATAACAGAGTAAAGGAACACTCTGAACTCCATAACCACTACTGTAGTGATTATGGTGCCAGGAATACCCCTGGGCTCCCTAATTGTAAGTAGTCAAACAGTTTTAGACGTTTTGACAACTTACTTGGGTTCTGCCTTACACCAATCAGCAAGTCCAATATAATTACTTCTTAGAAGCTTCTGTTAGCTCCCCTTGGCTAAGCCCTACACTGTCAGGCAAAGTTCAGAAAGAGACCTACCAGCTTTCCTGTAGCTGTAGTGATGGCAGGGCTGGCACCCATCCAGGTGTAGTGGTTATGGGGCTTGGAGTGCTACTTTAAAATAGAGATTTAATTTGTCCGTTTACCACAAGATGGTGCTGCAACCTAAGAGATATCATTTTAGCTTATGATTATTATTTAATATTAGCATATGATTATTATTAGCTTATTATTATTATTATTATTATTATTATTATTATTATTGTTATTACATATCCTGCAGCTCTTTACATATTTACAATCTGAATATAAAGCAGCAGGTAAATGATGTGAAAGATCTATAGACTGGAGAGAGAGAATGGAGAGATGTTTTTTTCTGGCTGGGATGTGTGGATGGTTCAGATTGATGGAAGATAGACAAACCAAACATTAAGAAAGCCTATGCTATTAAGATTTGGGATGTATAGAGCTGGTTCTATCTTTTAATTAAGCCTTACTTTACATTACAGTATGTCTGGATAGCGATACACAACCTTGTGTGTGGATGCGGTGTGTAAGTTTGTACTGTGAG